AAACATCCACAGACACCACAGAACCTCTCACCACCCTCTTGACGACCAACACACACACCTCTGCAACTTCCATGAACACACAAGTCTCTACAGACACCTTTACCACCACCACGGCTTTCTCCAAAACATCCACAGACACCACAGAACCTCTCACCACCCTCTTGACGACCAACACACACACCTCTGCAACTTCCATGAACACACAAGTCTCTACAGACACCTTTACCACCACCACGGCTTTCTCCAAAACATCCACAGACACCACAGAACCTCTCACCACCCTCTTGACGACCAACACACACACCTCTGCAACTTCCATGAACACACAAGTCTCTACAGACACCTTTACCACCACCACGGCTTTCTCCAAAACATCCACAGACACCACAGAACCTCTCACCACCCTCTTGACGACCAACACACACACCTCTGCAACTTCCATGAACACACAAGTCTCTACAGACACCTTTACCACCACCACGGCTTTCTCCAAAACATCCACAGACACCACAGAACCTCTCACCACCCTCTTGACGACCAACACACACACCTCTGCAACTTCCATGAACACACAAGTCTCTACAGACACCTTTACCACCACCACGGCTTTCTCCAAAACATCCACAGACACCACAGAACCTCTCACCACCCTCTTGACGACCAACACACACACCTCTGCAACTTCCATGAACACACAAGTCTCTACAGACACCTTTACCACCACCACGGCTTTCTCCAAAACATCCACAGACACCACAGAACCTCTCACCACCCTCTTGACGACCAACACACACACCTCTGCAACTTCCATGAACACACAAGTCTCTACAGACACCTTTACCACCACCACGGCTTTCTCCAAAACATCCACAGACACCACAGAACCTCTCACCACCCTCTTGACGACCAACACACACACCTCTGCAACTTCCATGAACACACAAGTCTCTACAGACACCTTTACCACCACCACGGCTTTCTCCAAAACATCCACAGACACCACAGAACCTCTCACCACCCTCTTGACGACCAACACACACACCTCTGCAACTTCCATGAACACACAAGTCTCTACAGACACCTTTACCACCACCACGGCTTTCTCCAAAACATCCACAGACACCACAGAACCTCTCACCACCCTCTTGACGACCAACACACACACCTCTGCAACTTCCATGAACACACAAGTCTCTACAGACACCTTTACCACCACCACGGCTTTCTCCAAAACATCCACAGACACCACAGAACCTCTCACCACCCTCTTGACGACCAACACACACACCTCTGCAACTTCCATGAACACACAAGTCTCTACAGACACCTTTACCACCACCACGGCTTTCTCCAAAACATCCACAGACACCACAGAACCTCTCACCACCCTCTTGACGACCAACACACACACCTCTGCAACTTCCATGAACACACAAGTCTCTACAGACACCTCAGTCACAACAAGCACTGAAACAACCACCACAACCACCATGGACACCTCTCCTCACACTTACACCGCAACCTTGGGCATCTCCTCCACCTCCACAGACACCTCCCACACCACCACCAGTGGCACTTGGCAAACCACACCACACACCTCAGCGTCTACAACCAAAACCTCTGCTCACACCATCACCAGGACCCCAAGCATCAACAGCAGCCCCCTCACATCAATCATGGACAACTCACAGACCACCACCACACAACCCACTCTACACTCTACAGAGAGCTTGGCTTCTGTGGCAACCTCCAGTACAACCTACGCCACAGTGTCGGAAAATGCCCCCTCCACCACCAACATCTCTCCAGACCACACAAGCACCTCTCCAACCTCATCGCACTCCTCAAACACCCTCTCGGCCAACGGGGAAACGACCATGATGACCATCGTCACCTTCACAGACACTTTCACCTCCACCACAGACACCTTTTCGTCCTCCACTCACACTCCCAGCACCACCAGCAGCACACGGCAAACCACTGCAGAAAACACAGGAACACCGCGCACTCCCGTGCTCACTCCTATCTCCACAGATGCTCCAGCCACCATCACGGCCTCCTCCAGAACATCCACAGACACCTCAGAACCTCCCACCACCTTCTCAACAACCACCACACACACATCTGCCAGCACTGCCCTCACAGACACCTCAAGCTCCAGCAGCTCCAGCTCACCTCTCACACAGAGCATGGCAAGCGCAGCTGCATCGGACATCACCTCCCACAGCCTCTCCACCACCTCCACAAGCAGCACAGGAACCTCCCAAGTCACCACAGGCACCACGCCAACATCAGCAGCCTTCTCCACCAACACCACTACGGGCACTTCGGAAACTCCCACCAACACCCCTACAACCTCAGGAGCCTCCTCGTCTACTCTGGGAACCTCTGCAACCACTGGAGAAACCTCACATGCCACCATGGACAGGGACGTCTCTATCACAACCACCTTAACAGCCAGGACATCAACCACCAAGATGCCCACGGACTCTGCAGCAACCAACACAGGAACACTGCACACCTCCATGCTCACACCTCTCTCCACAGACACCTCTACGACCACCACGGCCTCCTCCAAAACATCCACAGACACCTCGGAACCTCCCACCTCCTTCTCAACAACCACCACACACACCTCTGCAACTTCCATGGACACACATGTCTCTACAGACACATCGGACACAAACAAAAGCCCTGACGTGACCTCCACAATCACCATGGACACCTCTCCTCACACTTACACCTCCTCCATGGGCACGATCTCTACCTACACTGATGACACCAGTGGCCCCTGGCAAACCACAGCACACACCTCAGCACCTACAACCACCATCTATGCAGATGCGACCACCACCGCCTTGGCCAGCACAGCCCTCACAGACACCTCACGCTCCACCAGCTCCAGCTCAGCTCCCACACAGAGCATGGCAAGCACAGCTGCATCGGACATCACCTCCCACAGCCTCTCCACCACCTCCACAAGCAGCACAGGAACCTCCCAAGTCACCACAGGCACCACGCCAAAATCAGCAGCCTTCTCCACCACCACCAATACGGGCACTTGGGAAACTCCCATCAACACCCCTACAACACCGGGAGTCTCCTCAGCCACCTTGGGCACCTCTGCAACCATT